ACTTGAATACTTCACAGTCGTGCAGCAATATATCGTACACGATATAGCCTGAAGTTTAACAATACAACGAATGTGTGCAATTCAACAAGATAAATAAATATAGACGATATCATCTACGTTGTGAGTTTGTGACGTTAAAAGGAAAAACGAAAATAATATAATACGAACATCGCAAATGTACGACTACAACAGACGTACAGTAATCGAATACCTACCTACAAAAAACGTCATACAAATGCATAATACACAATGGTGTATTTGGTAAATAGATTTAAGTGTATACGCACATTTACCGAGTAGAAACTGAATTATCAAAAATAAAGACCTTTCGAGGTGCCCTGGATTCTTACCTTTAAAATGTATAATAGGTCAATTCACTTAAATATTAAAAACTACTTAGAAAAACGGATTCTCGTGAACGTTAATTTTCCGTGTAATGAAATTATTGGGAGCGTAACGAGAACTATATAATTTTTATATATTCCTGGCCAATGACCGCCCTCTAAATAATTGTCCTACTATAACAGGCCTGTCTATAGTCTGCTTCTGATTATCACGAACTGTCACAAACACTAAATATCCAAAATTTGATAAATGCAATGAAACATTATAAATTATATTGATATTAATTTCAATAGTGGTTACAAACCACGTGTTGAGTATACACGTACCTATCACTGGCAAAATAATGTACGAAAGTGCAATATTATAGTAATATATTTTATGTATAATATTATCTATGGTTAAAATCGTGAGTTCATATTTTCATTCGAGAGGGGGGAGCGGTACCGCACTTATTTTGGATCCGGAAATGCACGTGAATTGGAGTTTATAATATTATTATATAGTTTGTATACCTATAATAATTATTGGATGGCACGATTTAGCACGAAGGTTCTAATAGTAATCGGTTAAACGTGTTGAAATGAATAAATTAACGACTCTTTGAAGTAGGTATCAGTCGTCTCGTTCTCCTGTCTCTATTTACTTCCTCTCACTCACATTTTGGTTAATAATCCGTTACTTTTTTTTGCCCGTCCTCTGCTCTCTGCGTGCCTCGTGTCGTCTACTCGTCCATCTCTCTTCCGCAGAATCCCACGAATTATTTCGGTTTCAGTTATTTTCGTACAAACTGCACGCGTCGGCGTCACATTGCCGTCCGCCGTCGTCGCGTGCATATTATTATTATATTTTATATTATTATTATCGCTGTGCGCGCGCTGTATATCCGGCCAAAGGGTTATTCGTCACACGCCCATAGTCGCTCAACACTTCCCGTCACGTATGTTGTTTTTCCGCACACGACCGAAAATGCTGCCAAAACGATTATTGCAAAAATATGCAAAAATCGGTACTTTCGCGTATAAACCGGCTCCGCCCCGCCCGACGATGACTAGTACTAGGTACAGTGGTACACGTAGGGAACACGTGGACACTTTTTATAATCTTACGATTTCACTTATTAGTTTTTTTTTACCCAATTATACGAGTTCGCTGACCGGAAACTTGGACTGTATCGATCGTGTAAACTATTGTGTTATATTATTAATGAGGGTGGGAATTTGACAAATCGAAATCTTGGGTTCGAGTATTACAGTAATAATATATTATATTTGTATAAATTATCACATTATGTTATGTAAATCGGACAAATTGTTAATGGCTTACTAAGGCATACGTAGCCACGTTTAGGTATAGGTACAAGTGCGTAGTACACTATAACGTTTCGTCATTTTTAATTGAAACCACGATGACCCAAATATTGAGCACATCGTATTTTTTTTTTTATTTCCCAGACTTCAATTCATGCACATCGTAATATTTTATTTCCCACTTTCCCAGACATCAATTATTTATGTCATTCGCAAACATTCGTTTCACCGTAGCACCGTATAGTACACCTAGTCGTGTGGGGGGTATTTCACTGTATTTGTAATTTTATAAAGCAATATCCCCGGGTCCGGAGATATAATAATTCATGGTCTGCGAGGTTATTTACTTAAGAATATTAAACGGTATTTAGCGATTATTAGTCACGTAATAATTGTTACTGAATTATACACTATATTATTATTATGACCGAAAGTCATAGGGCATTGCGTCACCACTGCAGACTCTATCCAAAGGATATTATAGCCGATATTCTCCACATTATCTCGAGAAAAAACCTATTATAAATAAAAATGAATAATGGGCGAGTATAATAGGTGTTGAATATACTTGTTGCGTTTTAAGCGATATGGATTACGGATGTTTAATATAACATTACAAATACTGGAGGCGGGTCTCGGTTTTCTCTTCGCCAAATTAAAATAATATTTTATATTTAAGAATCAAAATATATATTCACTGGTATTTCGCTCGCATTTCGAGCCTAGGATTTTGTTTACGGAAAGCGACGAAAACGTGCAATCGCTCTCATCATTCGTACAGCAAGTTTCGAGAACATTCTACGGAATTCTTGATTGTGCCGCCGTAATGCTGTGCACGTGTACACACATTCATTAAACGGTGGACATTATTACCGGATACTTTTACTTTTATATAATAATTGTTAAACTTTCCCCCGTGTTTACGGGTTTATGGATCTGTGTTTGGGTTTGTGTGCCATCGTCGAGATAACAATAATAATACGTATCAATACCATCGACATGATAGGAATAGAAAGAATGGATTTCCTAAAAATAATATTATTATAAATGCGCTAGGTATGTGGAACGTTGTATCGGCGAGGCCGGATGAAATCGTAAATTCGTCGGATTGACACGTAGACAGCAACAACAAAAAAAAAAGTCCACCCGACCGACCGGAGCGGATCGAGAAAATATTATATTCGTTTCTCGACGACGACGACCCAAATTCCCGTTTGGTCGTCTCGCAATATCAAAGTATCAAACACGAAAATAATCGATCCGTGTGGAAACAGAGACGACGAAAATAATAACCTACAATTATTATTATCTTTATTTATTTTATTTCCACGTCGTGAACCTAATCGTAAATAGAGGCCGTCAAGGCACGTATTATAGGTGCTGCGACCGTCCCCAGAGTCGCGTACGATTACAATTTACGATTGTTTTCTCAAACATTCGTGCAGGAAAACGTTCTGTCATAAATATTACAATATTATTATCATTATTGGAGCAGACGACGTGATATTTAATGAGAAAAACCACGAATCTCGCGTCGTTCGGCTGCAGCCTACGACGAACGAGACCGTTTCGACGAGCAACGACAGTAGAACAGTAGCAAAATAGTTGAAAATATCTATACAATATTATTCAAACGCAATACGTACTATTACAATAATATTATATAGCTACGAGCGGGGTCGACGGCAGAAAACCGTGACGTGTCGCTCTTTCCGATTTCGCTCCGGACTTGGCGACCGGACGGTTTTTTCACGGCGGACTCACGTGTCTCCTACATCAACGATAACGTTTTTTTCGTGCACAGTACTCGACGGAGCAACGATACGCAAAAATTCAACGATTTTCCCATCGCCAGCCGGACGTGCACGACACGACGGCGATGGCGGACGAGAAAAACCACCATTATGATGAGTTTGCTGCGAGTCACGGACAAAAATACGAAATACGAATAATATCGTGCAGACGCATTTACTTGACGTACAACGGCGAAGACGACGACGATGACAATAATTTAACAAAATATATAATATTAAACGTGTGGAATACTCGACGCACGGCCATCGCCGCCGTCGGACATGACGACGACGGCGGCGGTTAACGTTCTGGCGTTTGGGAACCACTGGAATTCGGTACGCCGCCGTGTCGGTTGGCGGGCGGGCGGACGGGAGCCGCGCGCGTACGAGTCGCGCCATCTGCCAGCACCGGGACCGAAATGTGGCCGACAATATTCCCCCACGGTACGACGGCGGTGCGGTGGACGGGCGGGCGAGACCCGTCATCATAAAAACCATGCCGCCGTCCCATGCTGGTCGGAGGAGGGTAGAGAAAACCGTTGGTTCACTACGGCGGTGTGGGACGGGCGGTAAGCGGTTGCCACACGTGCACGCACGCACGTACGCCCGAGTCGGCGGCCGCGGCTTTAGCGAGGGGAGTGCCGCGGGGACGGTTCGGATCAATAACATCCAGACGACGAATGCCTAATGCCCCTCGCCCGCCCGCCATAACCGACCGTGTTTTAGGACGCCGACCGACCGGTGTAACCGACGCGTCCCCGAGGCCACCGACGGCGGCGGGACGGGTTTCGTAACGTCGTCCCGGTTGGTGGGGATGGCGTGGCGGTGAAGCGGCCCGGTCATGGCGCGGCGGTGAAGCGGTCTAGGCATGGCGGTGAAGCGGACTCTGTTATGGCGTGGCGGGTTTGGCGGGGCAACGGGAGTGGTGCGGTGCGGTGTTGATGGTGCGGTGGCGGCGGCGGCGGTGGAGGTGGTAACGCGCGCACGCACTGCGGAAAGGTCACACGGCCAAAGTGATTCTCATTCCGTTGCATTGCTTTGCACATAGTCACGACTCGCGCACCGTTCTTAACGTTCGACTCGTCCAGTGGAGTAAAATAGAGAAACGAAATCGGTATCGTTACAGAAACGTTTTTTTTTTTTTCAGATATAAACGCGCGCGTATATAAACATAATATACGTCCTTATCCGAAATCGAATTTATAAATTCCCGCCAGTTGCCGACTGACGTGCATACCGGTAACAATCTTTCAGTGCGGATTGATGATAATAATTTGAATTTTGAATTATTTATATCTGTCCATACCGCATAACGGTTCATAATAATTTTATTATTAAAATATATTGGAATCGTATTGAAATAATAATACGTATACGGAAAGTGAAAAATAAAAAAGTATCGAGAAACGGAATAAAATAAAAATCGTGATACGATTGTTGGACGGAAAAATCCGTCGAACTTCTTGGCAAATCGCTCGCTCCGAAGAGTGAAACTCGTGTCCGATTCCATATTTATTTATTCTTTTTGTGACATTTGCGTAATATAAAATTAACTATGGCTTTCATGATGCCCGTTGTAAAAAATGATTACAATATTTACAAATCGAACCGGAACAGACGAGTTTCCGAGTGTTCTAACGACAAGACGTCCGGCTCGTCGGGCTCGTCGTGCGGCGGAACCAGGCGGGTACACAGCGGTTCCCGGTCGGCGGACGGCCCGTCGCTGTCCACGTCGCCAGGCAGTGATTTCATGGTCGGCTCGCCGGCGCACCGGTCGCTCGGTGGAGTGTCCAGACAGACAGCTTTCCACCATGGTAGCCAGCAACACCATGGCAGCCAGCAGCACCACCATGGGGTGGCGTCCAGAAACTCGTCCCGGAACTCGCAGTCCAGCCTACAGAGCCCCGCCAAGTCGTCGTCGTCGTCCTCGTCACCGCCCAAGGTGTCGTCCACGTCGTCGCTCAACATGTTCCACTCGAAGCTCGTCGACAAGCTCAGACGGTCGCTGACGTCCAAGTCCAAAGACAGTGAGTGTCAGTCTCTAGATAAGAAAAAAAAACCACCCAACCCTTGCACGCCTAGCGTCACCCATCCCCGAAGGAACGGCTTGAGAGGAACGTCGGGTTCGCTTGTTTCAAACCCGGTGCGTCCATACATTTTGCCGTGTTTCATTCCGACAAGTGTCGATATTTAGATGTTTATTTGTTTGTTTGATATTTGAGCGTTACCTATAATGGTATTAATGCATTATTTGTAATTGGCTTGTGACGACTAAACTTTTTTACGGTCTGTTTGCCGTGTCCCCAATAAACCCTACGTTTAACACTATTGGCCCAATGTTCATTGTATTTGCTATGACCCAAATTTCATTGTATTCTCATACTATTCAACTATGTATGACGACAATTTAACCTTCTCCTTTATAAAATTAATATAAACACGTTGTTGTTGTTGTTATTATTATTGTGCATTAGTATGTTACTGTAGGTACTTGTAAAGCTTCCACAAGTAAAAAAAAAATCATTAATTTTGTTGTAACCACTTTTAAGTCTTATTGATGTTAATAATGTTAACACTAAAATAATATAATCAACTCTATAATTATATTACCTACCACCAAGTATACAAACTTAGTCAGGTCTTATATTTTATAGTTTTTCCCAGCATATACAAGTATGATACAACCCATTTTAACTTGAGCAATTTCAATAACTTCTAGATACTAAGACATATTCTAACAATAGAATTTATGTGTGTTATACAGATAGCACATCGACGGCGTCCAGCAAGGATATTGCGAGGAGAAGATCCTGAGATATGGCCAAAGGTGACGACCATCAACGGTCAGTACCAAACCTGACTAAATCAGCAAAAAGCCGGCCAGTATCCAGTATGGCCACGTCCTGTCCACTGGGCACCAATATTGCTCTATGACAAAATAAACAGTAAAAAAATCAAGAAAACCTACAGCAAATCATAGCGTGCTCTTGTGTGCAAGGGTAAGTGCCGGCACTTTGTTTAGAATAATAAATTATTTATTACACGAGTCGCATCTCTATTAAAATGCTGACTTTGTTTTTTTTCAAATGGATGAGTCGTGTGTTTTGGTTAATAATAGAGAGTATTCTAAAAAAATGTATAAATAATAGCCTATTTTAAGTTGATACCTAGCCTATATTATATAAAAAAAATTATTAGTTACATTTTATATGTACATATATTAATATTGACAGCTTATGGCTTATCTCAGCATTATGGTTTATTTTTAATATTATTTTTAGTTCTTTATGAATACTACTATTTGAAAAGTAAAGATGGTACCCGACTAATTATAACTTAAGCCTATCAATCAATAGGGGACAAGGTCTTATAACCTTAATGTTTAATGTATTATACTATTGTTGAAAATGTCATGATGTATTAACAGTGATCAAAAAATGAGGGTTTTTTTAAAATTAAGATACTCTGATAGTGTCAAATATAAAATCAATGCAATTTAAATACAATTTTTAATCCAACAGGATTCTAGGCAAGATTTAAAATAAATTACTTGGTAGGCTCTTATTGTTCTTTCTTACCAACCCGCCTACTTTAGTGTATAAATTAATGTATATAATATTATATCAATATGTAATTTGGGGGTAAAATTTCATTCAAAAGCTTTTTTTTTATAAAATATCACAGATCAAATATTTTTAAGATATATTGAAAAGTATTTATATAGAATATTTTGGCTGCAATAATTTATAACTCGCACTCCATAAGTCTGATTGACCAAATAAAATTAAAAATACCATATCACAAAATGTATTCTTTTGCAAATAATTTTAATGTAGATTTCGTTCGTAAGGGGCAACATATGTCCTACCTGGATACTCAATGATAGACTGTACTTAAATTTGTTAGATGTTCATTAGGCTGTTACGTTGTATCATAAAGGGAAAATTATTTTAATGGGTTGGTAAGTTAAGCCTGATGCTCTGTTTTGTTTATAATAGGTAAAAATTAATCAACCATATATAATCTGTGATACGTTTGTTACTATTTTTTTAAGATATTCAGCTTTTATCTTTATTTATCTAGGTAAATAGGGTTTACTAAAACATGAAAATAAAAACTGTTATTGTTTTGGAGTTAGCTTAAAAAAAAATACTATTATTACTTGGGCGCCTGATTGTTAATTCTGAATTATTCACTTTCAATGAACTAAACAATTACCTTTTTTCTGTCATATTATGAATATTATGCATTCTCTAACAAAAAAGGGGGAAAAAACTGTCATAATACTTTTTAATTTACACACATATAACTCTCACATATACTCAATTACTTATCTAAAACAAAAAGTTGCCTTAACCATATTCATTTTAACATTGATAGTTATTTAATATACTTTTAATTATTCATTCTCTTGTAATAGTCATTTGGTTTTGATATTCAAAAGTCAAAGTACAAAATAATAACAAAAAGAAACTGTGTTACCATTCATTTTTTTATTTTAAAATGTATGGATATCATAAATCTTGATTTAAACTGTTCATAGCATAACTACATCATTAACTCATACCTACATTTTATTATCATACTAATTTATTTTTGATGGCGCCCAAACCACAACAAAAACAATACTTGTCTAGAAACCATAATAAGTTACAATACTGAATGTGATAGTAACTTGTCCTTTGAAATACAATAGTCAAAAATATTTGTTACGTTTAATTATATATTTTGATGAAAAAAAGAAACTAGTCTCTTTATTTTTTTTATTTTATTAAGTTATTTTCCTGATACCAAAATAAATTTTATCACCGGTTTTTTTTCCAATAAAACAAAATCATTGAATTAGACTGATTGATAGACTAAATATTGTACACAGTATTAATGTATAACTGATTTGGAACTTCAAAAAACTTGTACTTAAAAATATCTTACAAAATTATGCTGTTTTACATTTAAATTATTGTTACTAAAAAAAAAATTTTTATTTACCTTATTTATTTATGTTTTTCTGTCTGTACGCAAAAAAAAATTAATTCTATATAAGTCTATTTTATTGTATAAGTGCCGGAAGAGAAAAATGTATTTTACATTTTGATTTGTAATAAAATTGTAATAAAATCCTTAATTAATAAAATATTATTTTTTATTGTTCAACATGTGTTGTTTTAGTCATTTTTTTCCTTAACCTATTTGTAATACATAACCTATGTATTCGAATTCAAAAATATTACCCGAACAATGCATATAGAGCTAACTTTGTTAGTTTCATGTAAATTGGACCTTGGTACGACGTTATTATAGTTCCTACGCGAATTACAGAACAACCAGCGGTGTACCATATTATAATGGAACAGGAAATAAATTACGCGTCTCTGTTGTGTATCTGAGATTTAAAAATAAAACTACAAGTCATTCAATTATTCGCATGGTAATTTCACGACAATTCGACGACGTTTAGAAAATAAATCTTATAAACATTCATATCGGCCGTGTTCGAGAAGAGGTATTTGCATACAACGAATATCGATCCTCTTATATTATCATGCAACGGAGGAAAGTATTGGACATTTTCCATTATACATTTTTGAATAAATAATATATCACGGAAAGGTATCTCCGACAGTGAAAATTCTTATGATCGATGAAGTATTATCTGCGTTTATCTGGCCGAACAAGGAATTTGTGATTTTACAGATCTGTTGACTGTTTTCTGTACCTTCTACAGCTTCTACACCTTTTTTTTTAATATAACTTAGAAGTTGCAGCTCTTCAAATGCACTATTTATGGATTTTAAACTGAATAAAGATTAAAATATATCGGTATGTGATACTTTTCAAGGGTTTTCTTTAAAATTGTCCATAATAGTTTCTCGAAAAAATGTGGTGAGTAGGAGAACGTAAAAAAAAAGTTGGAACTATGGATGTTCTTAATTTCATTGATTATAAATATATATTGTATAATATTTATAATACTCAAACTATGTTGTACGACATATTTGAAAAATATCTACTAATGAATTTTTAACATTATCGTACTAACCATTACTAAGTAATCAGTTGAGCAAAGGTCAGAGGATGATTGTTATTATAGTTCGTATAGTAAATTGCTATATGGTTTGCTAAGTCTTTAGGGAAGCACCCTGGCCCTAAGTGGCTTTTGGACGATATTGCGAGAGTCCTAAAGTCCTATAATATTATTAAAGCTATAACTGCAGACCGAATGACGTGTAACAGAAAACGAGAGCGATCTGATCGGAAAGAATATGTCACACAATATGACGATCGTAATATTTAGTTGAAACACTTCAAAGTTCAAAGTAACTAATAAACAGTTAAGACAATAGCGCGCTACTCGACATTTTCCCTCTACAAGGAAAATCTATGAATCATAATATATATGTTTTTGTCAATAAGTAACTATGACAACAAAAACGTCTATTGTGAAAAATTGGCTTAGAAAAATAAAATATTTACATACATACCCAGCCCAAAAACATATAAAAAATTAACACAAACATTTAAATAATATCTATGTATGGAGCACCAATATTAAATATAATAGCTACCAGTACTTAGGTAGGTACTTATTTTCAAGTTTCAACAGTACTCGTGATGGCACGTTCTTATAATATCGTTAACGATTGCGATTAGGTAATAACAATAGATATATACAGTGGCGGAGCGAAATTGTGTAGGCTTTGAAGCATATTGTATATTTTAAATATTTTTACCACCGTACCCTTCATTGAACCAAAATTAGCAGCATGGGCCAATAATGATTAATTTTTTAATATTTGCCATGATATTTTTGTTCAGGTCTTACGATTATATATATATATTTATATAAACACCCACCCATTTCAGATATGAAGCAATTGCTTCAAATAATTCTACATCCCGCCGCCACTGGATATATACAACAACTAGATAGCCGTCATTATACTACAGTTGTGATCAATATTGAAATCGGCCGCCATTCACAAAGCAGGCAATGTTTACATTTATTTATATACATATATATTTATCTATGCATATATACTATGATATTATTTTGTAAACATTGTCTGCTTTGTAAATGGCGGCCGACTTCGATGACAAGAAGGAGATGGCTATCTAGTTTTTGTATATATCTATGGTAATAACTATAACCGCAGCACCGCAGCTACATCTAAATGTATTTTTTTTCTACTACCTAATCAGAAATTACTTAGCGTTGTTTTATACAATTTATAATAAATGTATAATACATTTTACTATACGAAAACTGTAAAATACTCCAATCCATATATTGTATGTGCTTAGACAGTAAGCACAAGACTACAACTACCCCGGGCGCCAGTATTTTGGGGGCTCTAGAATTTTGTGGTCGGCAATTTGTCCCCTTGAGAATCATTAAAACTCATAAAATTGAAATTATTTTAAAGCAAAATGAAATTAATGCAAATTTAAAATCTTTCGTGACGAGACTCATAAAACTATTCAGGATATTTGGATATTGTGTTGTTTTTGAGGAAAAATGATTTAATAGGTTTATCTTTATATAAATGTATATCTCAGAATGCTATTAAGTGTAAATATGCTATTTTACTCCTGTAAGTAATTGCACGAGTCATTTTCGTGCTTAAAACTTGACAAAACTTATCTGAAGTCTTGCACCTCTAAAAAAAAGCACACATTATTGTAAAACAAATATATTGTTTTCTTTGCTCAAAATATAAAAGGTTCATGAAGATATATCTCTCATATTTCCAGTGGTTAGGCCCCTTAGCTTATGGAGGGGCCAAATTTTTTTTTGCACATCGGCGCTAAATGTT